TTCTCAGACAATTTGACTTTTGTGATATTTGTACCAGTGATGCAGTTATTCCATTAGCATTTTGGGCAAACATTATGACTCACCGATGTGGTCTCAGAATGAAAACATCGGCCTCCACACATATGAAAGCATTAGAGGCACAACCTGAAGTCAGTCATTGATAGCCTCAGGCATCTCATTGAAAAAGAAAAAAAAACAACTTTCCTTCTCTTTTGGTGCTTAAGGTAAATAAATGCAAATTGGGGAACTTCATGAACCAATTTAGGAGGAATACACTTCCAATTAGCTTGCATTTCTCTCAAAATTAATTAATAAATATACTCAATTATAGTGTAGATATAAATCTTCATCATCCGAAGTGAAACATTACGAGTGGAACACAATTTATTGAGCCAAGCCGCTTGATTTCATGACAGGCTATTTAATCCAAAATTATTAAGGGTGGTTATTAACCTTTTGCACCTCCGTCAGTTATTAACGTTTTTATTTCGCTGAATTTAGGCGAGTAAAATGAAGCAGCAAGATTGACTTTGTCCGTGGGCAAATCTATACTGGCAAGAAAGTTGAATGAGCTCAGGTGTTGAAGAATCGATTGGTTCTTTGTTGACAAATACATTCTCTGGACAAGTTGAACTATTACACTTATTAGGCTTAGTTGAGTTTATTCCTACCTTATGTTAATTTTGTTGCACCTTTTATGATGCTTGGTTACATATATAGCTTCCATGAAGTTCTGCTCATTATTTCCATGAAGTTCTGCTGATTATTATGAAAATCTGTTGTCACATCACATTTCATCAAAATTAAGAACGGCTCCCTCACAGACATACTTTGAGAAGATTTAGGAAGCAGGTCTAAGTTGTGGTACAGTTGGTGCACGGCGAATTTGGCGAATTTGCTCGAGGCGCGGGCAGACAGATTCTGAGCTCTGCACATACAGCATGTGCAGTGGATGTCAGTGTATTTCCGTCATAAATATTACAATAGCATGCTTCGAAGCCTCTGAATCATTGTACAAAATCACAGCCATCTGCACAATTAGACCACAATTTTGCCCTAAACTTGCACGAGGCCCTTGTAACTCTGCTTACTTCACACTTCATTTCCATTGTTCTGGAATAGGTGTCATGCACAAAAACAAACAAAAAAAAAAAGCTCTGAAACTTGCTGAGGTGTGAGGTCTCATGAGATACGCTGACACATAGCTGTTGTTTTGAATGCTTAAAGGCTGTATGATTTCAGAATTATAGTCTCCACAAAATCTAGATTCGAGTCTAACTCGCATCACCTCAAGGACAATGAACTTTGAAAGTTGTGCTGTACTTTGATATTCTTTGTTAGCACACGACCGGACACAATTTTCAATGTGCACGCTTTTTGTTTTTTTTTTTTTTTTTTTGCAATGTTCCATCATCTGAAACAGATTGTCCTTGCCCCTTATCAGTGTTCACACCGGCAAGTAGTTATTTCTCACTTGTGGTACTTTCATGTTTGACACCTTCCTTGAATCATTTTCCTTTCATCTGTATTATGCGTGTAGGCCTATTTGGTGTAACTACCACACACTTTTTACTTTGCCCAAGTTCCACAACAGCTTTTCACAATTTTCGGTTTATTTCTTCATCCCACCCATATGTCATCGATCTCTTAACAGCACACCTAATTAAACTTTTTTTTCTTATCTTTCACTCCCGTTAAGCTTGTGCTTCATTATTTCCTTTCACTTTTCTGTGCATGCATCCTCCCTCTGTGGCTGCTTCACTGCATAACCAGAATTATATCCTGGTTTGGGGAAGGTCATGTTTTTGTCGCTTTGGCGGTAAAACCGAGTACAGACTAATTATGAAGTGCTGGATGCCTTAGCACAGAGTGCGAGGGTTCCAGAATTCACGGGGTTATGAACAAATTGGTTCCGGTGGGAGATGGAGGACAGGAAGCAGCCTTTGATAAATGAACCAATGAAAGAACAGAAATGGAGACTATTACACAGGATGCGTGACTGACTGGAATCAGTTACTCTTAATCAAGTTTTATGCAAAACCATATGACTTGTGGAGGAAATGTCATAAACAGAAGCAGCTTGGAATACCTCTAAGAAAAGTAAAGTGTTTGTAAAGTCACTCTCTTTTGATTGAAGTCCAAATTGGGATTTAAGTTGCGGAGGCCTGAAATCTTATTGGAGTCCCTTCCAATTTTGGATTAGGAGAATCTGAGAACGCTAAAATCCAAGCCTCATCTGTTAATTGTAATACATATTTGGAAAAAAACAAAACAAAACTTTTTAATTATTATTAATGATTATTTTATTTTGGTGGGGGCGGCATGGTGATTGATTGGGTAGCACATCTGCCTGGCAGTGCAGAGGTGCAGGGTTTGATTCTGGCTCTTGCCTTCCTGTGTGAAGTTTGCATGTTCTCCTGTGCCTGCATGGGTTTTCTCCAGGTACTCTGGTTTCCTCCCACATTGCAAAATCATGCATGGCAGGGTAATGGAATACTCTAAATTGTCCCTAGATGTGATTGGGAGCGCAAATGGTTGTTTGTCTATGTGTGCCCTGTGATTGGCTAGCAACGAGTTCAGGGTGTACTCCGCCTACTGCCCAAAGACAGCTGGGAGAGGCTCCAGCACGCCCGTGATCCTCGTGAGGATAAGCCGATTAGAAAATGAATGGATATTTTTTTTATTTTCTATTGTGCTGGAAGTACAAGAGTCACCAACCTTTTTTAAAGTGAGAGCTACTTCTTGGATACTGAGTAATGGAAAGCGGTGCCCCTTTAATACACATCTATGTGAAGACATTAAAGATGGTTTACAAAGGTCGGAAACAGATAAACAACACCGCTACAACACGCTTCGGAAATCACAATGCCACATCATTGGTGAGTTCTTTTTAAAACAGGATCGCTGACTACTCATGCTGTCCTTGTTATTATATATCAGAATGTAGAGACTCAAAATTGGGTACAAGAGCATACCACAAAAGGAAAAGACTATTTGCATAAAATCAGAGTCAAGTGGAGCCTTGTCGAATATCATCCATTTCATGAGGTCATTCTCCTTTTTGTTCAACTTTAGAGTCAAGTTCCCCCTAAGAATGTAATGTAAGTAAAGCAAAAATGCTCATACAATATTCCAATCTTTGGAATATTGCGATCCTTTGTGTTTGTTGACTGACTGTGTTAGGCTCAGACCAAACCGAATCATGTTTTTGCAATCCATAAATGCAGGCTCAAAGTTTGATCAAAAATATTATAGAAAATCGCACCGGCACAGTATAAACTGAAATTGCTGTTCACAAGGAGCCAGGAAAAATAATGCACGAAACGAAAACTCACTTGGAAAGGCACGGTTCAATAGAATACAGAGAATACACTTGCGAAATATCAAAAGTCCAATAACACAAAAACATTGATCGAGAGCAATAATAGAATCACAAAAATACTCACAACGATCTATGAACAAAACGAGAGCGACTGTGAATAGTATTGAAAGGTCTCGAAAAATCACACTTGAAGCACAAAAGCGAGCAACGTCAATAAGCCAACAATAACCAGGTAGCTTGGCAGTCCTTAAGTACATGGCAAGGCTTGATTGGAAATGCAGCACAGATGCGCCTGCTGGAAGGAAACCCCCCTTCACTCCAGCTGGAGTTGAAACACAATCAAGAGAGACAGAACATGACAGCCTGTCGACTAGGCCAAATTGAACCGAGCAACCTGCGATGGCATCATAAATAAAAGTCATCTAAAGAGACGCTATGTAGCAAGGTTTACTGGTTTGTGAAATATGCTCTGGTCTTGCGTTCGATGCCCAGTTTTTATGTGACTTTGGAGGCGTCGTTTCACATCAACTAGTAAAGCTAACTGGAAAGATTGCCTTTGGAAGTGACTGACATCGGATATTTGCGAGCATATATGGACCGTGAAGTCGATGTCATTTGATATCATTTCCAATCCGTAAGTGAAACCTTGTACCCTGTGGATAAGACCATTTTCGGGCTTTTGCTTGAATCGTTTAGTAAGGCTTTTCTGGTAATTTCCCACTTGTCTGTGTTTGTTAACTCTTCTGTTTTGAAGTTTTAAAAAAAGAGCAATGCTTGCAGGGAACATTTGCAATGACTGCTAATGATTTCATGGGTGTAATTGGTAAAAATTCTGAACTTGATGAGCTATTTAAGTGCTATTGCCCAGAAAAACTCCATTGTCATCTGATAACAATATTTTGGTCAATGTGAGATTTCATGCCCGCTTTTAGACTGCTCTGAAGTCAGAACGATCCTATTTTCCCAATGCCGTACGTTGATCTCAAAATGTTGCATTTAAAAATAAGATGGGGATGAACCCCTTCAGGGACAGCGGTTACTACAGTGGACAGCTTATCAGGTTATCTGTTTACATGTTATCATTATTTGTGCATGAAAGGTTTAAGATTGTATTTGCTTTGTCCGTGAAGAGAAAGTTTACTGTGGGGGTCGCCAACCTTTGTACTGGTTGTGTGAAGGGCTACCAAATTGATACCCATCTGAAATAACATACTGGGTTTGTTCAAATGACCTTGAATAATACAGTCATACCTCCGTTTTCGACCATAATCCTTTCCAGAAGGCTGTTCGAAAACCGAAACCACGCTCTTTTGTTTAAAAAAATCTTTATTGAACACGTCTGCTCACAATGGAACGCTACCCGAGGAAGTGTCACTTCCTCGTGTAAGGAAGGCAAGAGGAGTCAAGTGGCGCATTCAAGTGCGCTCAGTTTGGTCGAGAACCGATTTTCGGTCGTAATCCGAGGCATAAAAAAACTCGAAATTTTTGGACGAAAACCGATTTGGTCGAGAACGGAGACGTTCGAAAACCGAGGTTTGACTGTATTAGGATGTTATTTGTAATACTTGATGATTTCCATTTTCAGACTCCGATCATGTTAAAGATGTCTCACAGTACTACCGGTGTTTGCATTTTTAAGTCAGAATTTCTATGAGCAAATCACAATCTCCTAGCAGACTACTAATGTGGCCCTCACTGGCTCCTGGTTTACGATAAATGTCGCCACTCCTCACAACTGTCAATCTTTTTCATGGCTGTGGTATTATTTTTTAAGGAAACTATTAAATGCAAAAAGGTCATAGCATTTTATCTTGCACACAATTTCTGCAATATCCAGTGTAACAAATACATACAAATACGTATATTTCGTTTCGATTGTTCGTCTAACTTTGTTCACGGCATCGCTATTTGGCGACTGCATCTCCATTCGGATGCAAAGAATTTTCTATGCGTAAGAACTCTGACTCTTGTGTGGCATTTCATTGCACTTTTCCGATCGTCAAGGGCCTGGAATATCTACTCCTCATTTTAAATGTTTTCAACGCAGCATTATTCCTTCATCCGACATCATTCGCAATACGAAACTTCCTGCTCGCAGCGGTGACTTATTTGTGGAAACCCACTAGGGTTTACGGCTACGCAAATTCAGCAGATCTTTACACTTTCTCCGCATTGCACCTGATCAGGAGGGGGGGAGGGAGGGAGGCGGGGGGCAAAATCCCCTCACATGCACATTTCCAATCTCCTAATCCTCCTGCTGCTCCCTGCTTTCATCTGTGCTTTTACCCTTGCTCTCCCCGGCAGGATGAGGTGCCATTCGGAGCACAATCAAGCAAAGGATGCGAATACAAAGCAGAGCTGAATCACATGCACGCAAACATACACAAACAATCACCGAAAGGTTTAGCGGCGATGAGCCGGTCGAGTGCTGCACTTGTGACATTTATACGCTTCTGCACACAAAGTGATGTGCGCTGCCTCTAATCTCAGTGAGGCATGATGAGAGCTTCAAGTGTAGAGTCCTTTTCAACACTGGCTTCTGCAAACTTTTTTTTTTTTTCTTACAATTTTTGACGCAGGGCTTTAATTTGAGTGTAAACTTGTCCATTACTTGCATGAGTGCACAAATAATCTTTGTGAATGTGTGTATGAAGACTTGGCAGGTAATTTACGAGACTTTCTTCACATTTGCTGTTGTTGCTTAATGTTGGAGTGTTGCGTTTTACATTGTCCAGATCGGATGCAAAGACAACAAGCATAGCTTGTGCAGCGACTGCCTCACCTGCAATTTAATACAGTAGACACCACAGCAACCGAGCGGCCCCGTGTGATCTTGCAGTCTACTTTGAGGTACAAGCGCTGTTACACAGCCAACACTGAACTGTAGAACCAAGGCAAGAAATATGTCATGAAAAATTAATAGCTCGCTGATAGAAAACCTGAACATATTTTTTTGACTGCTGGCGGCCTGGTGGTCCAGTGGTTAGCACGTTGACCTTACAGTGCAGGGTTCGATTCCAGCTCTGGCCTCCCTGTGTGGATTTTGCATGTTCTCCCCCGGGCCTCCGTGGGTTTTCTCCGGGTACTCTGGTTTCCTCCCACATTCCAAAAACATGCATGGCAGGCTGATTGAACACTCGAAATTGTCCCTACGTGTGAGTGCGGATGGTTGTTCGTCTCTGTGTGCCCTGAGATTGGCTGGCAACCGGTTCAGGGTGCTTCCTCCGCCTCCTGCCCGAAGACAGCTGACATAGGCTCCAGCACCCCCCGCGGCCCTTGTGAGGATAAAGCGGATCAGAAAATGGATGAATGGATGGATTGGACTGCATATGATTTAGTCTGAAAAGGTGGAAAACGTACCAGCATGACATGACAACAGCCAAACAATCCAGTCATCTTTTTTTTGTTAATTGAATGTAAATGTACAGTGGACACTCAGAGGTACCCAGCCAGCTAACCACCAACTAAATTCTGAATACTTCTTATCCAAAAGACATACTGAAAATTGAATGAAGCCTTTGGCAGAGTTAAATCTTTGCAGACCTATAAAATGGTCACATTCAAAATAGTTTCCATGTACCGGCACGCTGAATAAAACGGTGTGTTGAATTTACTCAGTTTCATTTATCAAGTAGTTGTACAAAATACAAGCATCTGGATCCAAATACATTTTTTTAAGTAAAGGAGTAGTCTACTGGTAAAATATATCTGGATCCAGTTGATCTTACCTCATGAACTTGACGAAGTGAAATTGAGTAAATTCCGGTCTATATTCAGTGCGACGCCTACCGGTATATTATTTTCTCGTAGCCATCAGATGTTTCTAGTTTTCTTCCTGAGTTTAAAATTTCACGCAAAAGCTTTACATCACTTCACTCAGGGCTTGCACTTACTGTGGTGACCCAACAGAACATATCAGGCCGTGTTGTGCAGTTTGGCGTTAATGCCTATTGATTTGAAGCTCCATACATCTCGGATGTTACGATAGCTTGCATTTGGCTGGAATTGCCGCTGGTTCCATAAACTAGCCGGACAGCCGTAATAAAACTGACTTGAATTTTAGCGAACATTAAGTGGATATTTTTGTACTTTGTGTTTATAACAGCGGAATTGGCCTCAAACATCATCAGTCATGCAACAATAAATTCAGTCAAGTTAAAAAAAAAGCCCGCAGTTATTCTTGAACAAGCTTGTCATGACCTTGCAAATGTACATCTGCTCTCAAGTATCTCACGCAGGTGCGGCGGTGACTAAGAGGGTCGCTGCAACCTCCCCTCGTATTTGTTTATCTGGGTGACTCATAAACATAATTAAGCTTTGCTGGGCATAGAAAAGTGCCATCAACTCACACAGCTGTTGACACAATCTTTCATGGCTCATCAAAAATCAATATCAATTTGATCAAATGCATCGCTTACAAGCTACGCTCCTCTCCCAAGTGAAAATAAGCACTCTGACCACAAGATTAAGGCGCACTTACCAGATCTAAGTGATCATAGATAATAAATGCGGATAAGCCACTCACAACCAAATGTATTTTTTAAAATAACTATCCCTACAATGCCATCTTAACAACAATGAAGTCATTGTACAACATTTGTGAACTAAACATTTGATCATGGGTCTAATCCTAAAATCGTTCATCACTGCACATCGTTGGTTTTGCTTTTACTAGCGCAACATTGGATGTAAATCCTTTCAAAGCTCTCTTCGGGAAATAAACTTTGATCCATTTTAACATAGCTGCAGGGATCTTTGCAAGTTTAAAAATCTTTTAGTTTTATTTTTCTCATGCCGCTACGCATTAAGTCGTCTGATGCGCCTCACATTTTAAAAAAGTGTTGCATTACAGAGAGCAAAAAGTAGGAAATCAGAGGTGAAGGAGGTTCAGATGATTACCACATATGAATGTTGTTCAAATCCCCTGAGTGCAAGCAGCAATTTGTTTTTTTTTTTCATACTTAACGCCCTCGCTCTCCTTTTTAACTTTTATAAGTTACGAGAAAAGCTCCAGTTCCTTGGACTTTTATCTGACCTATATTGTGTTTTGTTGGAGGACTTGTTAAGAGTCTGACTGACGTCGCCTCCTAAGGGGACAGCTCATGTACATACACACTCTTATACAACTCACTCATGCGCTCAGTGAAACTGCTCAGGGCCATTGTTGGCTTTGACTGATGTGTCGGCCATGTTGCGTTGACACCTCCCCGACACGATCTTTTTTTTTGGACGTGCTTCACTGTTTGTCAACCACTTTGAGCACGAGGCCACATTTGAAGACATAGGTGTCTGTGCGCATATGCTTTCAGTACGGTTGGCCGGCATTCCGTACTACGCTTTCTTTGTTTCACTTCTGAATCGCTGTTTGCACATCTAATCCAAGCCAAGCTGTTTTTTCGGGCCCTTTGTGTTTGTGAGCGAGTGCGTGTGCTCTGTGCACAGTGTGCCTCTGCGGTGTCACTATGTCAGGGTTGTTTGCTGTAGTTCTCAGACTAGATCAGGGGAAAGGCAATGTTGGTGTAGCCCAATCCGTGGACGTTGATTAAATGCAAATGCACTGTCGTGCCGGGACAGCAACTGGGAATAGAAGACTGCCAGAGAGAGGCGGGGGTGACAAAGAGGAGTTGCAAATCCCGCCTACTCGGCGCTGGAAATGTTTTTCAAATGATTCAGTCAATCTTGAGGTATGATTATTTTTGTATGTAAAGTGTCATTTTACATAAAGCAGAACTGTACTGTATATTTATTATAATCGGTCTGTATGAGAAGCATTTCAAATGTTTTGGCCTGTGTATATCAACCACCACCATTAATCAAAATGGGATTTGTATTTTATTTTTTTTGTTGAGAAAATTACAATGACGACATTGATACACGAATGTCCAGCAAAAGCGTTATCATCATGAAGGCAGAATTTTTCGATTGACGCTTTGTTAGGTCTCCTTGTGCAGGTGTACCTAAAATTGTGACCGCTGTAGGTCATTTCTGTTGTTTGCTGTTGTTCTCAGACTAGATCAAGAGAAAGGTAAATGTTACTGTGGCCCCCGTGTACATGTTTTAAATGCAAATGCAGCGTGATGACAAGGACGGGGAATAGAGGACAGGCAAAGCAGAGAAGGGCAGGGACCGGTGGAGGCGACAAAGAGGGAATAAAAATGTTGGTGTGGAGGAAGTAAGTTGAACATACAGAATGAGAGATGATGCACCGATGGGGGAGTTTGGTCAGAGATGATGAGACAAGAGGTCATAAAAGAAGAGAAAAGTGGGTATTTTTGAGAGAAGGGACAGGTGGAAAATGGATACTGAAAGAGAGTAATGGAAGAGCCCACTGTGAGGGACTTAAGTGGAGGACTGAGCTGTAACTGAAGCATCATCGATTACTTGGCGGTGTCACCGGGTGTGAACATTAGTGAGTGCTTTTGAGTGTGTGATATTGCGCCTTGTCGAGCATACAAGCTTGTGTATGTGCTTGGTAGTTCACCAATTAGGTATGGAACAAAAGTTAATGAGTCTAATATGTGCTTGTCTGCACCAAAAATAATATACATGTCTGTGTAACTTCTGCATACCTGTAATTGTACCCTAAAACAATAGTGCCAGTGTTATAGCGATCGTGTGCTTGTTTTTAATAAAGAGAACCGCATCTCTGTTGTTTCTGTGATGACCTTGTATCACCTACTTTAATTCTCCATTATATTAGAAGACCAGCCAGGACATTTCCCATGTTGTTTACACAGAAGTGGTGCTAAGGAGACGCAAAAACAACAACAACAACAACAAAAAACATGGTATTTTCTCTTCTCATCTTCTGTATATTGGACCAACTGGGGCTACTTAATTAAAAAAAAAGTTTTCTGTGCTACATATGTTTCTACTTGACATTGAGCATTCATCCAATGTTTACAAAAGCAAATATCTCTCAGCGCTGGGAATCAGCGGAGCCACAGTTACAATTTTTATTGAAATGCCAAAAGCAGAGAGACTTTTTGGAGACGCTCCATAAACAGCAGATGGAAAGCTAACTTTTTCATCAAATGTGTTCTTTCAGTTTTTTTTTTTTAAACATAACCATGAAATGAGGGGAGGAATTTGGTGAACTGGATTCTTAAAATCTGCAACTGATGACTCTGTCAATCCAAAAAATAGACGATATAATGAATCGAATATACATATAAATGTATTTTATCACTTGAGCATCTTCCCACACAATCCAATAAGGGCCTAAGGTGATGCATGTGTGTGTTTGCGCCACAATGGCACACAGCTATACCAAATGGCACCGTGTTACTCCTCCTACACTCTGATATTGCCCACCCACACAATCAGTGATGTTATTGTCAGCCATCCCCGAAGTGAAGCAATGACTCCTAACTGGCTTGCTTTTGTCAGCTTTTCCTGAGGAAAAAAAAAAAAAAAAGCCCTGTTTCTTAGCTGATGAACGACCCACGCATCGCTGACACTTTTAGCTGGGTGGCCATCCATTTTTCAGTGACTGTAAAAGTCTCCATATTACCCTACTCTTTTGTACATTTGTATACTGTATGTGTGAGTAATGAAAGAGATCTATCATTGCTCGCAATGTATGAGCTCATGTAAGGGCCAGTGAGGCACTCAACGTCCAGCCCACACACAACGTACTCTAACACAGCGGTCCCCAACCTTTTTTGCCACTCAGACCGGCTTAATGTCAGACAATATTTTCAGGAAACGGCCTTTAAGGCTGGATAAATGCAACAAAATCATATGATATGACCTGCATGACAACTGAGGTATTTTCTAAATATAATAATTAACACGAATGATGACAAGAGGAACGTCCTATCTGGCTGCAACACTCTGTGGTCGCTATGGTAATGTTTACTTATTTTGCTAGCTCCTGGGCTTCGTTTTAGCGGTAACTTATCACGTGAGCGAGAAGCACGCCTTCACCAGCGTCAAGAGTGACATACTGTAGACCAGGGGTGTCAAACTCATTTTTGTCGCGGGCCACATTGGAGTCACAGTTTCCCTCGGAGGGCCATTATGACTGTGAAACTGTATAAATGTTTAATCACCTCCTCGTATTATCAATATTCTTAACTTTTTAAAGCTGCCGAGTTAATATGCAAACTATTTAAAAAGAAGCAAATAGCTTTATTTATGAGTACATTTTGAGGGAGGATTGATCAGGGTGCACATCGGAAGAAAATATGTTTGTATTTGTAAATGCTGTGCCCCGAAATTTGGTGACATTCATTAAATTTTTTTTTTGCCCCCAAAATGTGGAACCATTTTTTTTTAATTAGACAGCTATATTAATTATACGAGTGTGTTGTATTGCCTTGTTAACACAGCAGTTTGTTAAATGTTGTCTGTTGCTTAAGATGAAACTATCACTTGTCATCACTTCGACAATTTGCTGTACAAGATTACAATATTACATCCTTTGAGATGTGAAAACATGCCAAAATTAGAATCTTTGAAACTGTCCCTTATGTAAATGCACCAAATCAACACAATGAAAACATTTTAAATATTAAAATTAAAATACTGAGTCAAGCGGCCAAATGATTCCTTATATGGCGATCTGTGAAATGAAATGGTGCATAAGCGTTATTAAGCAGCAATCAAAATAAATGTTTCTGAAAAGTAGGCTAATCTAAAATATGTTGTAGTTAAAAAAAAAAAAGCTTCACATCATTTCAACATATACATTATGGGACTCTTACAATGTCAGGCATCAGATGATCGATATCAATCAGGATATTGATTTGATTGAAGTGTTGTCAGTGAAGTCAAATGTGGCCATGTCTGCAGTCTGCTTATGTGTGGCCTTCAATTAAACAAAACAATGAATTGCCTACTGCCTTGCAGTGCTTTGCCATATTGCCTTAATCTCTATTCTCACCGTCCCGGTACCCTATTTCCCAGGTTGCTGCAAATTTCCTTCACAGAATCTGAACTCTTGATAGAAGACGAAGTATTTAATTCTCTGTGATGGTTTACGGTCTGTGCTTTCATAACAGCCCATTTCCAGTGAGAGCACTGCAGTCGGGAGTGGAGGGTCTATTTTAAGTGAAAGGAGATAGCTATATGGCGCTGTGGCTATATTTAATAAAGCTTCCCCAACACAGCGCCAATCTCCCTTCCTGGGTCTATTTTCTGGTTTGACTGGCTATGAATGCTTCCGTTTAATGCAAAGTAATGGCCAGAAGATGCCATTTGGTTGCTGTGCCTCTTTAAAATTCGGTCAGTAAGTGCAAGAAACAATTCGAGGAGCAGGGCAGGATAGAAGGTCATACTAGGACCTAGCGGGTTGCATTGCACCACTTGCAGCTTAGCCATTCAGCTTCCCAAGTCATTTTGAAAAATTGGCTTTTTCAAAGTCTGTGGGAAAAGTTTGGTGAAGGCCCTTTTTATGTTGTGCGTAAAGGAAGGTCCATGAAGGCATGCTTGGATGAGTTTGTTGTGCAAGAACTTGGGAGACCTCAACACCATCACCAACATCTTGTCAATGAACTTTCAATCACAAATCTCACAGAAATGGTGGAAAATATGTTCCTAAATTATAAGTAAATAAATTACTCATGTTGACGTCAATCAGAATATTTCTCATCTTCTACCTTAATATCCATCGCTAATATTTCTTTCACAGTTAGAGATTGATAATGCCGCTCTATGTGATCTAAAAATGTTAACTTAAAGGGGGAGTCAAGTCAAAAATATTCCCTGAAATATAATGTCCGGCCTCACTAGTCCGATCACGGTATTCTGATTAATATTGAGTTTGTGGAATAAAAATTAAGCAGTAAAAGGCACCCGTTTTTATCCATCTCACGGGACGGCCATTTGCTGTGAAATGAAAATGACATCACCGTTACTCGGGTAACAACCAATCATGGCTCAGCTTATAAATGTCACGTCCGACCTCAGAAAACTTGCTGTCGACTTCAAATGACGTCACATTTTACTCTATGAACAAATCCGACAGCACCATTCCATCCCAAGGCTTCATATAGCCATCGAATCACATTGACTTGAAAGACTTCAATATCAGCCATATGACTCCGTTCAAAATATTTCCGGAGCGCCGACATCTCCATATATGGTTCGTCTGCGGACCAGAGCAGCATGGGTGTGACTCCGACTGTGTGCCGCATCGCTTTGCCTACCTACAGTACAACTTGTGCGCCACTCCACAACATGAAATATCCATAAGTCAGGTCGGGCTGTGCAGATGCCGCTGTACCCGCTGAGCCCCTTAACAGGGCGGGTGGAGTGTGTGTTTGTGATTTGTAGATGGAGAAGAGAGCGAGTTTAGGGGAAGGTACATCTGTCATCTTGTACCCCTGCCGAGTGGAGTGAGGCATTGACATTTTTTTTTTTTTTTTTGTGGAGGGGGCTGGGGGGGGGATGTGTCAGAGAATAAATGTGTGGGTGTGTGGGTGGGGGTGGTGTGTGTGTGTGTGTGTGTGTGTGTGTGTGTGTGTGTGTGTGCGGTGCTAATCAGCTATCAGAGCGGCAGCACAGGAACCAGAGTGAGCCAAACAAAGTTGGACAGAAGGAGAGGTGGCAAGTACAAGGGGTGCATCTGTCAACCTATCGGTTTCCTGCATGCGTGGGTGTTTGTGTGCGGCACCGGAGCCCGCGTTACACTGCAAATGAAGGAAAATGGTGGAAAGGGCAACTGAGGATTACAAAGACACGAAGAGGTGGTTGGAGAATTGATAGTCACTTTCGTTCAACTGCAGAGGATGGAGGGTGGCAGCATGGGAGGTCAGAGGGGAACACAGCAGGTAGAGTGTACATCTGTCACCTTCTGCTCCTCCAGGCTAGCAATACTCCAGAGGAACAGAAGGGGAGCGAGAGGGACCGGAGGGTTTAGGAGCGGGGAGGGTGGGGTTGGATCAGCGGAAGAACATCGCTCAAAGGCCTTATGATTCCCACTATTTCCAAGCTGCATCGTCATATTGTTTCGATTGGTAAAAGCCTCAAAATACCGACAAGCAAACCTCTTCCTTTACCATGGCTTTTTTTTTTTTAATCCTCCAGCAAATGAGGTGGCAGATGTTTGAGGTTGCTGCAGTCAAATGGTTATGCACGGATTTTATAAATATCACAGCGCTGTCAAATTAGCCATGACTGTTGATCAAATGTCTCCAGATTAAAACGAGTTGTACTTCTTCCTACTCCTTTTTGAATATGGACAATCTTAATTTTAGTTGATTATATGAGTTTAATTTTGTCTATTTAGTTGTTTTTTTTTCCTCATATCATTCTCACGTGTTTGAATCATTCGCTCATTTATGGAAACATAAATAAAAGCCGTCACCATTATTTCTCAAGTATGGTTAAAGTTCCTGAGCTTGTGTAGGAATCACACATCAATTGCTGGTGAATGGATTATTGGTCGGACACTTGGTAGTGACTCGTCTCTCTTCAACAAACTAAAGGTTTAAATCGTGATCAATTTTTTTAATGATCAACATCACAAGCTCCGTGAAGGTAGCCAGGGTTAAAAACTACAGCATCAACTACTGAAAGACATCAAAGCATTTGTGCAAATTGACTTTTGCATTTGAACATGTTGGTTTTCAATGATTTATTACAAAATACATTTCAGTTAAAGGTCATAACAATTACACCATTGGCAGTTTGTTGGCTGTCATCGTCATCCAATTGTGGTCACGCATTTATTTTTTTCTGCCAACAACAACAACGCTGGTTTTGAATAATAGAAAAATTGTCGGAAAGTCAAACACAATATTTTGCTGTCCTGTCACAACTCTCATGCAAACACCATAGATTTGAAATTGTGATCTTTTGACCCTGAGGCAAATAGGCAAAGCAATACTTCTCCACGCATCTCCTCTTT